CATGTTTGACCAACTCCTGGATATAATCCTTGGTAGAATGCTTCAATTTCTTCATCACTAACTTTGGTGGTTGGTGCTGAAATTTGAATAATAGTTGTATTGATTAGGTTTCCTTTAAGCGAATAGAGCTAATCTTATCATAGATAACATTGTACTTCAAGACTCATTTTGCAATGTCCTTTTTGATAGCAAATAGAAAGCCATTCCTCTGGATTGTATAGTAAATCATGTATAGTATAGTAAATCATGATTTTCTGAGTAAAAATGGCCAATACCAACCCATTTCAGCTCACTAATGCCTACTATATAGATCTTTATGTGTTCCATTTCCTTTTTGATGACTTCCAATTTTCTTAGATTCATACTTCACACATTCTAAGTTCCAATCATTAAGATCTTTGCAGCTGTTTCTCCTTACCGTTAGTAGTGCCTAATCAGTAAATGAAATCCTTGAAGATGCCATTCCCACAGGCTTTACCTGACTCAAGGCACCATGGTCGACTCCATGCTCAGAACACAGTCCTCCTTATTTCGAGTATCCTCCAACTAAGAGAGTCCATCCTTGGGTACTTTCTCCGGCTACGTTCTGCTTCCATTCATTAGGATTTCAGTATCTGACAGTGTTTCAAAGCTATTCATAAGGTTTTCAGTGGCGATGGATCCCATCGTTGATGTCTGTTCTGAGTCTGGAAGCTCTGCTGAAATCTGTTCACTTTGGGTGACCCTGATGGCATTTGAAATAACAGTGACAAAGCTTCCAGCATACAGCAACATGCACGCCACCAGAGCATGGCAAACTGGCAGACAAGTAATGGGGAGGAATGCAATAGATTTATGTAAAATCCACCTATCATCAGAGGAAAATACACTGCATGTTTTCTCACAGGAGTTGGCATTCATATTCTGAAATGTGAGTAGAATGATGATTATGGCTGATAATTATTCTGCTTTCCTTTCTACCTTTCCACTATCAGGCATGCCTTAGCTAGCCTTTGCCATTCATCTTTAAGAGAGCAAAGTTAAAACACAGAAATAGGACATGATCAATGTGGTTATTTAGTTTATCATTGTTTGATTTACTAGGAAATAAGCATTAAATAATAATAAAGGTCTCAGTTTAAATTTTACAGTTGATAATTAACTTCTAGAACACCTTCACTAATCAGACAACAATGGTAACTGTAATTCTAATATTAAATGAATTAATTATTTGGTATTATCTCATAGAGACCAAGTTTTAAAAAAATGCACTGTCATTTCAAGATTTAGTATTTTTCCATACTAAACCAAAAGAAATTAAACATTTCTTTTAATTATTTAATTCTAGTTAAGTAATTCACTTTACTTTAGGCACTATAAAACCATCACTGGGGTAAAGTTACCAAAAGGATCAACTGACCCATTAGACAAATATCTAAGAAATAAAGACTATCCCTTTGAAGAATTCTATCCAGAATATTTCTGAGATACTCTTCCAGGATAAAAAGGAAAGAAAATAAACTACGTATATAATGCCAAATAAACTTCTGAAAAAGAAAAATTCAATTACTCAATTATTTACCATTAAAAAAAAATCCGCTGCCATCGAGCTCAGACTCATGGCGGCCTACAGGCTAGAGGAGAACTGCCCTGTGGGCTTCCGAGACTCTATGAAATCGGAAAGCTTCACCTTTCTCCAATGGAGTGCCTGGTAGTTTCGGACTTCTGACTTTGCAATACATAACCACTATTCCACCAGTGCTCCTATTATTTACCACAGTGCCAATAAACACAATGTTCAAAATTGTTGACTTGTGTCATTCTCAAACCACAGATGTAATTATATCATTCCTTGCTCAGAAATTAAACATAGATTTACAAGGCTAGTCCCACATTTTCAAGCCATGTAGGGTCCCACCATGCAAGCACTGTACTGGACTCTTCATAACTATTATCTCATTTGGTCCACACAAAATCCCTGCAGAGATAAGGAAGGCTAAGTGAGAAGAGCCCACATAACGTACTAAGATCAAAGAAAATGGCGAGGATGCAAAGCCACATTTGTCAAATTCCAAATTCTATGCTCTTTCCCCATACCACACTTCGTAGTACAGATACGGGGTCTCTAGGAATTTGGAAACTACTCAAGGCAACCAACAACACACACTAACCGACATACATGTTTTTTAAAGGCTCGATGTTATCTTATTCATGGGTTGTGAAAACAATTTAGTTAAAAATAAAATCACTTTGTAGGCTATGATCAACATTTTCTCTTTAACCAAACAGAGTACAACAGAAAATAGTTTGTAAATCATTCATAGAAATACATGCTCTGACTATAATAGAAAGGAACCATAGTGGTGCTGTCGGTTAAGCACTGGATTGCTAAAGCATCGGACTGCTAATTACATGGTCAGAGGTTCAAACTCACCAGCCGCTTCATGGGATAAAGATAAGACTGCCTGTTCCTATAATGATTCCGTCTTGGAAACACTATAAAGAGCAGTTCTACTCAATCCTATAGCATTTCCATGAGTTGGAACTGACTCAATAGCAGGGGGCAAAAAGTAATAAAAACTATACTAAATATTTCACTGGATTCTTTTAAGAATCCATTTTACAGAACTGGAAAAACTTTACAATGGAGAAAGTTTCCATCACAGTAAAACATCAACAGTATAATACAATGTACTGAGGGCTCATCATTTTGTGGGGTTCTTGCTAAAAATACATAATCTCAATCCAAGTGTGGCACTGTGACTTGCTTAGTATGGCAAATGATTAGGTCAAGAAAACCAAACCATTGCTATCAATTCATTTCTGATTCATACCAACATTACATAGGATTTTCAAAGCTGTAAATCTTTACAGTATAAGACTGGGGTTTACTTTATCACTACTTCAGTCAATTTTAACTCACAATCACCCTATAAGGCAGAGGTTCTCAACCTTCCAAATGCCATGATCCTTTAATACAATTCCTCATGTTGTGGTGAATCCCCAACCATAAAATTATTTTTGCTGCTACTTTATAGCTGCTACTTCATTACTGTCATTTTGCTACTGTTATGAATTGGGCGGCCCCTGTGAAACGAACGTTCGACCCCCAAAGTGGTCGCGACCCACAGGTTGAGAACCACTGCATACGGGCAGTATAGAACAGGTTTCCAAGAATGTAACTATGGGAATAGAAAGCCTTGTCTTTCTCCCCTGAAATTGCAGCTGGTTTCAAACTGCTGACCTTATAGTTAGCAGCGCAATGCATAATGCCAGGTCTGGGTAGGACTATGCAAAATGAGAGGTGCTTTTGGCTTACATTGGGCCTGGATGGCTTGCTAATAAAGTAAATATGGGGTGCATGCCAGTAGTATTAAAATAATATGGTATTTATATTAACAAAACCCTGAAACTCACTGCTATTGAGTTAATGTCAACTCCCAGAGAACCTATAGAAAGAGTAGAACTGTCTGGTGGATTTCTGAGACTGGAACTCTTCTCAGGAGTAGAAAGCCCAGTCTTTCTCCCACCAAGTTGCTGGACTGATGAGCTATCTGATCACAGCCCAAACACAACCACTAAATAACAATTCAACTAGTAAGCATGTTACTAATAATGTCTACTAATGGCAACTTTATATTTCAGCAATATAAACCCTTTAAGTATCTATTTTTTTAACCCACGCTTCCTTTCATGTCTGTGAAAAAACTACACCCCTGCACAACATGTTCATGTCTACTGAACCTCTGCATTTTTGTATAGTTTTAAAACAAAAGAGCAACAAATAAGGAATTAGCAGAATAATGAGGTAACTACACAGGAAATAAGCCTCTGGTGATTTTCTTCTCAATATAATTAAGAAATGGGAATAAACTGGTTACCAAACAGAAAGTACTGGAGAGACGACTATAGGAGAGCAAAATGGTAAGTCTGACTTGAATGGTTAAAACCTTGTCACTTGATCTCCCCTCTGATACACTTTGGGCTTCATCTGGTTTTCAATATCTTCTGTGCTGTTGTTTATTTTTCATATTGGGGTACTGATGTATTTTGCCATTGTGGGTAGCCTTCTTGAATCTTTGTTATGCGTTTTTTCCATTTTTCAATATATGAAAACCAGGATTGGTGAACCCATAAGAAAGGTTCCTGGCGGGTACAGTGTTGGAAATAGGAGGGAGGGTAAAGGAGAGTCGATATCAAGGAGTTCAAGACGGAGGAAAATGTTTTGAAATTGTGGTAGCAATTGCACAATAATACCACTTGATGTGATTGAACTATGGAATGGTATGATGTCTGAATTAGTGCCTAATAAAATGGTTTGGAAAAAAGATAAGACTAGGAAGAAAGGCCTGGCAATCCACTTCTGAAAATCAGCTATTAAAAACCCTATTGATCACCACATAATAAAAATGAAGTGAAAAATGGTAGACAAAATAACCAAGTCACAAAAATAGGCCACTAGAGGGCAATTTTAGTGACAGTCAAACAAAGAAACACACTTCACAAGAAATAAAGGCACAAATGTGCTGACAGAAATATACTGCCATCTGATTCATTTCGTTGTGATGACCTCTGGAATGAACCAAACAGAAAATGGGTAAATTTTGGTGAACAAATTATATTTAATATTTCATGAAAAAAAAATACATTACTCTGGGAAAGTCAAACTTATTTTGAATAGTTTAGAGAAGTAGATACTAAATAAATAAACCATTTTCAAAACTATTTTCTATATTGTTTGTATTTTTCTTAGTCTTATAGGTCTTTAAACATAAATTATTGCATATTAGCTTATGGTAACACTCTACACTGTTGTATGCTTCTTTCTTTAATGGAAATTAATGTGGCCGGAAAAGTCATTTTAAGAGATATACATAGGCATAATATGCAAGAATAGATAAATTATGTTTCCCTTGTATTCTACTTCTAGTATATTCTCAGCTGTTAAAATAGAATGAGACAGCTCCAGGACCACACACAAGTCTAGCAATACAGAGATCCAGGTTTTCTTGCTGACTTACCATGCCAAACTGCCGCATGTCCATCCCACAGAGTTGCCACAGTTTTCCGTGCACCATCCCATAAGTTATGAGAATACGCTTCTTTTAATACCTTCTTTCTCTTATAAATGTGTAAGAAAATAATTGTGAGGTAAAGAAGAAAGATGGTAAAGTAAGGAAGTATTAAAAGTATTAGTGGTGTAAAAACCCACAAGAGATAGCTGACAAAATTAAAATAGTCCTCCAATTGTTCCACACCAAACCATTCTTCAAGTATGTGAATCAGACAAATCATATAGGGCATAGAGTATGGTCCTGGATCACAGGTTTGATTTTTGGCTATCATTTTCCTTTAGGTGAAAATGACAAATTTCATTTCTTTCTTCCTTGTCATAGCATAGCAGCTCCTTAAATTTTGTCACTAGAAGGGAAAAATAATTCAATATTATTTTCTGCACAGCAGAAACACTAAATATTTTAGTATGCATAAATTAGCAATCGTTTTTTCTCAAAACCAAAATGAGTAGATTGATAATGGCTATCTTTATTGAAGAATTAAGTGTGAGGGTCACAAAGTTTCAACTGTCCTCTCATGAAGTTGGACTTTTCAAATACTGTGTAAGCTAACACTGAGTAGCACAAATAAAGCGATGGAGAGTGAAATTTCAAATTGATCTTTAAAAGTCAACTGACATCTTACAGTAGGTCACACTGGATATGTGTGACTTAAACTGGATTTTGTTAACCATTCTTCACAAAAGAAAAACATTAATATCTGATTAAGCAAGAGCAACTTAATCCTTTGGGAAACAGTAGTAATTGTTTGGCAATGTCCTTTATAGAAAAACAAACTTACATAAAAGCTAATCTTTTGAAACTGACATTACACAATAAGATTTCATGAAACTGACATCACACAATAAAATTTTATTATCCTTTGTCATTAAAAATTCTCTTAAATAGCAGATGACTTTACATACAGCTGTGAAATTCATTCCCTAAGTCATTTGACTTACCAGAAATTAGATAAATATCTTGCTTTAAGCGTCAATGTATGTATTTTAAACACTATAATATACAAAGGAAAAAATGATTGAAAAAATAACACCTAGCTAGAATTTCCATAAATTACCAGACATTCATGACTAAACGTTTGACAAGTATGTGCATAGCCCCACACTAATGTATCACAATGAAAAATTATACTCCTGTTCCCATTGCTCTAGTGAGAATACATCTACATGTTTGCTATTGTTAGCTGCTGCTGAGAGCCCCTCAAAAAAATTCTATTTACAACGGAGAGCACCAGGCCTTTCTTCCTAGCCTATCTTGGCCCTGCTGAAACACGTTCAACTTTAATAGCAACACGTAAGCCTCCAGTGACAGCTGGGTTGAACTTACACATGAGGTGTAATAGCTGGGAATTGAACCTAGGTCTGCTGATTATGAGCGCCACTATAGAAATTATGTTAACTCTTCTAAGGGCTCAACAGGAAGTAAATATCTAGAAAAAAATGATGGCAACAGATGTACAAATATGCTTGATACAATTGATGCACGGATTGTTATGACTTATAAAAGCCCTCAATAAAGTGGTCTTTTAATTATAAAGTATATATATGTTAACTCTCATGATCATATTTTCCTACATAAAAATGTCCTCTTCTACTATATTTTCTCTGGTTCTGAATCCATACCTAGAGATTTTTTAAAAATCATTAATTCATACTACATAATCTTAATGAAACATCAACTTAAATGTTTTGAGGATGAGACCAAATGGATAAATAAAAGAATCAGACAGGAGAGGAAGAGACAGGCATA